CGGCAAGGCCAACAGGCCCGGTGAGGCAGGGTGGGCCATGCGGGTCTGCGGTGGGTTTGAGAAGCGCTGGGTGGCGAGGGGTTTGAAAATCGGCACTCCCTTGAGGGAGGAGGGTTACCTGTCCTTGCTGGTGGCAGCTGCATTGACCCGGTGTAGGAAAACGGTTGTTCTTCATGCAGGTAGATCTGCTCCAAGTAAGTGTGGATATCGTGGTTCACATGTGTTTCAGTATGCCTGTCCTGGTGGACTACGCTAAAAACACCCATGCCTGATCTCTGTGTGGCTGGCACAGCTCTACGAGATGAACGTTACTCCTCCTTGCCTGTCAGTAGGGGTGCTTAATAAGCTCTTATTAAATCTGTGTGAAATGATGAGTCATGTGAAGTGACGACTAGAGCATCCTGTCAGTTTTGTGCAAAGGAGAAGAGACCTGATAGTAAGATTGCTGTCAGTTCTCTCCTGAAAAAGAATTACAAGCTAGATAGTTTTTAAAGAGGATTGAATGAGTAGGTGAGAGCTAAATTGAAAAGCCCCGGAACATGTTTTCTTTCGTTCTAACCCTCCTTGAGAGGATCTGAGTTTTCCAAGACAAGTCTGAGCTCTCAGAGGATTATTCCACAAATTCCATATAAGCTTGAGAACATTGTAGTTGATGCTGCGCAAGGAAGATGTGAATATCTTGTTTTGCAGTGCTTTTAGTCTGATCGAACTGTGGGCTGCTACCAGAAGAGCAGTCCTACTTCCCATTCCCTTGGTCACGTGTTACACATCACCCTCCTTACAACCGATACAGCAGCTGTGTTGGTTCAGCACAATGATCCCAGGAGGAGACTTGAGCGGCCTTTTTGTGTCTGGCTCTTGGGCTGGAGTGCTGCACCACGCGAGTGCAGAGCTGTCGGGCTCGGCGCGGGAGAAGCGGCAGGACTGTGCGACCAGGAGAAGGGCAGGAGCAGTTGGTGGTACTGCTTCCTGCAGCAGCAGCCTGCATTTACAACAGAGTAGGATATCGTGATACTTCCTGTTGGTTGCTGTTTCAGAGTAGGAATTGTTGTCTAATTCATGTGGTGTTTTCTATGATGTGTGTGGAACTACACCTTTAATACCAGGAAAATAAAATGTAGCATTTGAGAAGGGAGAGAACTTACTTCAATAGCGAGGCTAGGAAGCATTTAAATTAAAGATTTGGTGTTAACATTGTTAAGACTAAGATGAGTTATTACAGACTTCTTCAGTGAACTCTGGTCTGACTGATGTAATGCAAGCCATTAGTAGAGTAAATGCTAAGAAAGATACAGCCTTTTAATTTTTTGGCCTCTGTTTTTATGGGTGCAGCTTTTGCTCTAGGAGTCTCAGTTTCTAGAAAGACAGAAAGAACAAGGAAAACATCGGGGTTTTATGCAGTCAAGTTCTGACAGGCTGACAATTTACTGTGCGCTCTGTACTGACTATTTAGGGGCATGTCTTTGCTGTAAATGTGAGGTAATTTGATAGATAAAAGATATTTTTGTTTGCAAAGCGTCAGTCTGTTCCAAATATCTTGCAACATGTAACTCTGTGTTGAACATCCAGGAACGATTCCTGTAAAGCAACTGGTGCTTCATAACTTGGCATCCTGTGGTGTCCTGTTGATGTGTTAAAACTAGATAATCTTAATTTCCCTATCCGAAGATAAAATATAAACAAAGGAATTATTATACCTCTCTTCATTCTCTGTTTATATATGGTAAAAATACTGAACAGGAAAGAAACAGTCCTATACATTAACTCTTAATAAATTTTCAGGGCTGAGTCGTATTTATTTAATGATTCTTAATGATTTAATACGAAGTTGCAGAATAGTCATAGAATCATTAAGGTTGGAAAAGACCTCTAAGATCATCGAGTCCAACCGTTAACCCAACCCCACCATGCCCACTAAACCATGTCCCTAGCGCCTCATCTACACGTCTTTTAAATCCCTCCAGGGATGGTGACTCCACCGCTTCCCTGGGCAGCCTGTTCCAAGGCCTGACCACTCTTGCAGTAAAGAAATTTTGCCTCATGTCCAGTCTAAACCTCCCTTGGCGCAACTTGAGGCCATTTCCTCTCGTCCTATCGCTGGTTACTTGGGAGAAGAGACCAACCCCCACCTCGCTACAACCTCCTTTCAGGTAGTTGTAGAGCGCGATGAGGTCTCCCCTCAGCCTCCTCTTCTCCAGGCTAAACAGCCCCAGTTCCCTCAGGAATGACTGTATGTTACCCATTTCTTGAATTAGTTCCCATCAGAGGAGTGGAAGAGGTAAATGTGGGGCTATTTTTTTTAAAAGTCCTTTAGAGTGAGAATTAGGAATACAGGTCTGAGAAAGCCTGGCTTCTAGATAAACCCTATTGATGTAAACTATCCTGAAACTTTTAATTAGCTATATACAACACTGCAGAAAAGTCAGAGATGCAAGTAGTTCTTTCAGGAATTCGATGAGCACAGGCGTTCTCAGTGTTTCAGCAAAGTCACCAAAACCTCTAATAGAAATCGAGCTGTTACAGTATAAGAGCAAATACCATTTCATGAAATAACAACTGACTGAGAGAGGAAACTAAGAGAAGAATAAAAGGAATATCCAGGAAATAACCAAGTGGCAAAGTTTGGGATATTTTAGTCTAGACTGAACTAGTTGAGCTGACCGGAAAAAAGTTGGCTTTGAATTTTTTTTCTTGACAAATTAAATGACTTGTCATAAGGTACTTTCAAAGTCACTTGGGGGATTTTGACCTTTGCCCTTCCCTTAGCTCTCTGTGAGCTGTCAGCGTTGGAGTTTGGTAAAGTCTTGCTTTATTATTTCCCCCTTTTTTTTTTTTTTAATGTATTATCTGATTTAACACACAGTACTTTCTAAATTACTTTTGTTTGGTTTAGTAAGTTACTACACATTTTGATTTATAGCACATTTCTAAATACTGATAACTTGTTACTGCAAGTTTGAGGAAATTGAATGCTACATAGACAGCTGTATGTTGGCACTGCACTAATATGCCACTGCAGCAGTTACTGTATGTTCAGGTGTAAGAATACAGTCTGTTTCTGGATTAAGTATATTGGAGCAAAGGTAGCCTTCCCAAATAATATTGTAGAGCCTTGGCTCCTCATATTGCCTTTCATTGCCTGTGAAAACTCCTTTCCTTAACACTTGTTTCACTTTATTTTGTACCCACTGCAGGACTGCTGACTGTAGGACAGTTTCATCAACCTTATAATCGAGACAGTTTCTTTCCTTACTCCTACATATCGACCTCATCCCAGAATCACGGCACTTTACCAACAAAAAGTTTAGATCGGACTCCAGTTCCTTCCAGAACGTGGCAGGGTTCTCCTGGGTTGCTTCCAGGGCATGAGGCTTCCTCAACTTTTCCAGATAAAGGGGTTGCCTTTCCAGTACTCCAAAGGTTTCCAACAGAGGTCACGTACACACTCCAGCCTGTTGCCTCTCCTCTGCCGCTTCAGCAAGGGTCTCAAACCATTGCCGCTTCCCTTCCAAAATACAGCAGCTACGCATCTTCAATGCAGTACTCACAAGCCTACTATCCAACAGGTATGAAAAAAATTTCTGCACTTGCTTTTCAAAAAGATACTTAAAAGTGATACAATGCTCTGTCATTTGTATATCTCAAGTGAGAATTAGGTAGAAAGTGTAAAGTCTAAAAGGAAGAGAGACCTTTAAAGCAAAAAGGTTTTCTGTTTGCTATTCCTGTCCTTCCTCCAGATTTTGAGCGTCCCCTGGTGATTTTCCAGATATCCTCTCTGTTGAGGTTAAAGGGTGAGGAGAAAAACATTTGTCCACAACTAGTCAGTGTTAGGCTGACTTTCATATTTTTTTTTAATTAAGCAAAACCAGGACAATGATACTAAAGCACTGAGAACTTGTTGAAAAGTACTATACTAGTCCTTGGTCTCATGTTTTCCCAGGTTAAGTTTCTGAAGTCAAAGATCAGTCAAAAGTATTGTGTAGAATATTTCATTCTGCTCATACTATTTTCATATCTTAATTTTTTTTCTTGCTTAGCTTCTTTATGTTGTATTTTTTTTATGCACTGAAGACTAGAAAGTACGTAAGTCTTGACTCCTTTCTTTTGTCTAAGATGTTTCTGCTAAAATTTTCAGTTTCACTTAAGTGTTTTTATTCTTCAGAAGAGAAGTTGAAGCAAATTATTGTTCTTTTACTTGCCCTTACCTTGAATTGGAAAAATCACGTGATAGGTTATTGGGGTGGGGGTGTTTGGTTTTTTTTTTAAATTTCCCTAAAACTTCTGAAACTCAGAACATAGTGACTCTTTCCTTGAACAAACTAAAGCTCAGTTGTTATTCTTTCCTTCTGCCTGTTCCTCCCCTGGCAGCTCTACCTTCACTAAGATAGATATCCCTGTTTAGAAATCCTACTTGTGGTGGGTGCTGTCTTTCTCCAAGTACACAGTGAAATCTTCATGTCTTTTGTGCGTGTCTTCTGGGACCTCTGCTGAGAACGTTTCAGACAATAATCACTAGTTTCCATAACATCGTTTTTGTCAAGGAAGGATTCTGAGGAGCTAGGCATTTCTTGTGGACACTCTTAAATGTTTAAGAGACAGGCAACTTTTGCCGTAAGCTTCTTGCCCTGTGCTACTTACAAAGGCTAGCACCTGCATTACCAGCTGCAAACTATTAAGTCTTCTCCCAGGAGCAGGGTGCCCTGGGAATCATAGAATGGTTTGGGTTGGAAGGGACCTTAAAGATCATCTTGATCCAACCCCCCTGCCATGGGCAGGGACACCTTCCGCTAGTTCAGGTTGCTCAAAGCCTCATCCAGAATACCTGCGTGGGGTGGGAGATGGTCCCCACTTCATGTTTCTATCAGTTACAGAGAATAGGCTGAAATTCATCATACTGAATTTTAGATGTCTCTATCCCAACTAGTCCCCCAGACCTCTTCTATAGTCAAGGGAAGGAAGCGGGCATCTCTAGGGTGCGATTCCGTGGTTTAGAGTTTGTCTTGGGGTGAGCTTACTCATGTCCTGGAAGTGCCTATTTTGCAGTACTGACTGTAGAGGAGTTGAGGGAGACTAGCGTAGATTTAGGCATGAATATGTAGATCTCTATAACTGGATGACACTAGTCTCTCTTGCTGGAGTTATAAAAGTTTAAAGAATAAATTGGCTATGTTGTACAGGTAAAATCTTCCAGGGTGGGAGATGGGGAGGAGAGCATGATGAAAGCATGCCAAATTTTGCCAGGTACAAACATTAAGGTGTAATTCAAACTAAAATAGAGAAACTTACGGAATCTGAGGCTTTTGAAACTCCAATGAGATGATAAGTTTGACATTTCACTAGAGAGTATTACAAATCTTTTAAATTTCACTGTCACTTAGGACTGTCTCAGTGTTTTTACTTCTGTTTCTGTGTATCTCTTAATCTCTACACTATCCTTTCTTCTGTATATTATAACATACAGAATGCTGAAAGCTTATTTCTTCATATATCCGCATGAAAAAGTGTGCTTTCCTTCATCTTGAGAGCACAGCACCAAGATTAGCTTATTTGGAAAATGATAGTTAATCTTAAAATATGTATTTCATAAGTGAGGGCACTAAAGAATATATGTTCAATCTTATTCTTGACTCTCTTCATTTCACTTTTGAAGTTCCATTAAATTAAATCAAAGTACAACTTTGTCAAAAGATTTCTTTTTATGTATATCCAAACTTGTTTGTTAACTTCAGAGACAAAAATATCTGTTTTTTCATTATGATTCTTATTGAAAGGGCAGTAAAATAAAAGATGCTCATCTGGATCTTTTTTCCCCACTAGCATTAGACCATAACTATTTTAAGGATTTAGTTCTGTTTGCTTTCAACTATCTGCAAAACCTTTGATAGTAGTAGGATTGCATCAAAGACATGCAGTGAAGCTTTAGTATCAGAGAGTATCCTAATAACGAAAAATCAGTCAAGGAGACTATGTGAGAAATGTTAGTTATTGGTGCCACCTGACATTGCAAGTCCAGTCATGCCTTTTAAATACATCTGTGGCTGTAGGGTTCACTTACATATGATAACCTTTCTGGTGAATGGTAGCTTAGGAGTAGTCATGTTATTCTGAATGATACACCCTCTGTTAAGATAAATAATTTTCGTTACGTAAGGCTTAAAATTCAAATGGTCAAAAAGGGATTCTTGAAATAAATAAGCAGCTGAAAACATCCGTTTTAACACAGTGTGAATAGCACCTTATTTTCTCTTGAGAAAAGCAGACTAGATGCATTAGTAATGCACTTGTAAAACTAGTTGTAGGATTCATCTTGCCTAAGATTCATCTGAATGTATAATAGTTAGTTGTATATGCCTGGGCTTGTCATCTAGATTACATATATAGTCAGTAGAAAGAAACAGGCACCTCCCAGAGGTTGAGTCATTCCAACTTTCTTAGACATATGCCTCTGGAAGACAATTCATTTCTTTTTGATGAGCCTATTTTTTCATTGACTGTGCAGGGAGTCGACAACTGCTAGACATCTGAGTCTATGTAGCAGTAAGGCAATTAATCCCACCTGAATGTCTAAGTTCAAACAACTTTGTCTTTCCCATTTTCCCTTATTGGAGAGACCTCGGGTATCATCTTCGTTTTCATCAGTCTTTTGGTTGGTAAAGGATCGAAGCTTGCAGTTTTGTATTCAGGCCCGTTCCAATGTGTTCATTGATCTGGCAGGAACAGGCCCAGCTGCATTCCCTAATTTCCTGCACAGCTTTGAGTACTGTTGACCCAGTTGTCTGATGGGTAACTAGCTTCTCTTAGGCATAACTTTTGGGCCTGACATGATCAGTTCACACTGAAAGGATGGTCTTAAGGTTCTTCCTCGGTATTTCCCAAGTAGTGCGTGCTCAAGTGGAATGGAAGATGCTGGAGAGTGTCAGTCTCACGCCCTTTGGCTCAACTGAGCTGATAATAGCGCTTATTAACATGTGTTGCTGTCTTGAATGCATAGAGATGATACATGCATTCCTTCAGTTTCCAACAGATCTTTGTAGAAACGATGGTGGTTGTTCAAGCTTGGAAAACATCTGCTGCTGATCGTACTGGGTTTGCATTTATTTTTGGGCTTTCAGCTTTCCTGAGCTTGCATGTAGTGTTGGAACCTGTAAAAAGCATGCAGTACAAATGTGTACACATCGAACTGTAAGCATGGAGCTTTTTTGATATTCTTGGATTTTTTTTACATTTAGGTTCTAACTTCCAGATACATTTGGCAAGATACATCTTTGCTAAAACCATGGCTGAGCTCAAGCATAGCTGTCTGTGTCTATGCCTCTGTATTAGACTTTGCCAGGAAAAGTGCCTGGGTGTCTTGATCAGCTCTATCATTAGATCGTTAGCCTGGTTAGCACTCTCCCCCTAAAGTGCTGTGCTTAGTTCAGCGGTTGGCGTGGGCTTGGGACCATTCCCAACAGGCTGTTTGGATGTGGCTGTTTTGACTTGGAAGAGTAAGAGATTTTAATAGTATTAACAGACTCTGTGCCAGAGAATGGATCTGGATGCATTTAGTGTACTGGTAGAGCTGTAGCCTTCATGTCTTCAGCAAAGATTATGATTGATTTGTTCTTCTCTACTGAAACATTGAGAGCCCACAAAATAATATTGTCTCAAGAGGAGGAAGATGTATATAAGAATGTGATGTTAATATTGTCATCCCTCCAGCTAAATTTCACATGCTTATTTTTGTACAATTCATCCAATTTTTCCAGTGTTGAGAAAACAGGATTTCGTGAATGCCTCAATAATTCTCTAACGAATAGTTCTCTGCTTTGGAGATGAGAATACAAGCCTTGATCAGACCAAATGTCCATATAACTCATCATTGCCTCTGACAGTAATGCCCAAGGAGGAGTGCAGGAGTAGAGCAAGCATGGACTGATGCTTTTCCAAAATGCTCCAGCAGTTTGGGCTCAGGGAATTAATAAACCATAACACGAGTTGTATTTAATAGCCCTTGCTGGATTTCATTTCCATGAACTTGTCTGTTTCTCCCAACCAATGTAGACTTGTGGCCCATACAACATCTGTGACAAGGACTTCATTTCACAGCTTATCTGCATTTTGTGCAAAGAGCCACCTTTTCTTGTCTCTTTTGACCCTACTGCATATTCATTAAATCTCCATTTAGGTTTTATGTGAATGTGTCTATATCCATATCCCTCTCACTGCACTGTTCATGATTTTAAATACTTCTCTCTTAGTTCCTTCAGTTGCGTTTTCTCTAGAATGGAGTCCTGCCCCACTTAGCTGTTCCTTCAGGAAAACATTCTGTACATCATCCATGTTGCCTTCCGTGTAACCTGTTCTGTTATTTTCTTACTGAGATGTAGAGTCCAAAAATATACCCGGTGGTCAACGTATGGGTGAATCATGAATTTATACAGTGGAGTAATAATGTTCCTATTTATTTCATTCTCTGTTCCCTTTTGTGTTATTTCCTAACAATCTGATTGTTTCATTTGTGACTTTGGAGGTCTTTTTGACAGCTGCTCAGTGTCAAGCTGATGTCATCCTGAAACTATCTACTCTAATACCAAGATCTAGTTCCTGATTATTGATTGACAACTAAGAACCCATCACTTTCTGTGTGCAGAGCTGTATCTGGTGGGTGGTGGCTTTAGGAAACTCATAAGTTTTTTTTTCACATCTTCATAGCTGACTGCTCTTTTCAGACATGAATAACCTGGTGTTATCAGCAACCATCATCTCACTGCTCATTCACTCAATGTTTAAAGTACTTTATTAAAACGGTGAGCAGCATGAGTTCCAGCACAGGTCCTTGGGGACCTCCACTGGTGACCTCACTTACCTGTGAAAAGTGGCTATCTATTCCTATCTTCTGTGTTGTATCTTTAAAACAGATTATTTTTTAAATGTACAGCCTCCCCTCTTGTGCAGTTGTTGCTCAGTTTTTGTAAGAGTTTTGATGACTTTGTTAAAAAGCTTTTTGGAAGTCTAAATATCATATCAGCAAGATCACAGTTATCCATATTTGTTTACCTACTGGAGGTCTTTCAAGAGGGCAATGAAGGGTGACTTCTCTTAAACAAAAAGAAGTCTTGTTGACTCCTCCCCATTATATATTATCCAATGTCAACTAATTCTCTATTCCATTGTATTTTCTTCTATTTTTTCTTAATCAACTATCAGATTTATAACTTGTATTTTTTTTGTTAACATACTTTTAAATAACTTCCTTTAAAAGTATTGATTTCTTTGCCTTATTTCTTTGCAACCTCTTTGGATATCCAAAGATATTTTCGGTATGTTTGAAATATGATCATTCGACTTCTGTGCAAGAATATTTGTGATGCAGAGTGTCCAGTCCTTTCCTTGTTCTGTTAACCGTGCTCTTTGTTGATCTCTGCTTGTTCTCAGGGGTCCGTTGTTGGGTTGGTTATAGCCCCGCTGACAGCCATTCCATTTTCATACATCAGTGTTCATATTCCACATACTGTGTCGTAACGAGTGTGTGAAATTTCCCATCCATAGCTTGTATGGGCAGAAGTGCATCTCTTTTTCGGCAGAAACCAAATCTATTTTAAGGCTGATCCATTTTGTTTGATAGAAGCGGCTGTATCTTTTTCTTAATTTATTCAGTAAATATTCATTTATTCCGCAAGATGCCGTTCATCCCTGTCTCCTTAGTATTCAAATGAGATCCGTGTTCACTGCCAGTTATTTCTTAACAGCCGGTGACAGAATGTGCTTTAGCTGGTAATTTCTTCTGAATATGATTAGATTAACTGTATCTTAGACAAAAGAGCTTAGAAATTTCTTCTCTCCAATTAACAGGGTAGGACAAAAGCATGTGAGTGAAGCAGGTATGTTTGTTGAATCTTGATTCAATTCAAAGACTTGAAGTATTATAAATGAATTGACACCTTTGCCTTTGATAACACTGCCCGTCAGTAAATGCTTTCTTCAGCGTTATTTAAAAAGTTGTTTGGATATATGGTGACTCCTTTTGTGGCTATGGGTGATAAGTGGTACTTATCTAAAACTGGCCTCCATCTTACAGTGGATTTGCTTCTTAACTGACTACCATTAAGACTACATTCGTGTCTCCCATTATATTTCCACAGATGCAGTTATTCTTGCTATTAGATCAGTCATTGCCATAGCCTATAAACTGGCAAAAAAAAGTTCTTGTGAGTGCAAACCGTTCTTTTTTTGCAACATTCTGCATTTCAGAACCTTTCAGAATTGGTCATCAGTCTAGTCTTCTACACAGTTGTTTTTGTTCTCCTCACTTTGATTTACAAACATAACAATTTGATTAATTAGTTGCTTTTGCTATAAGCTCTACTAACTGTAAGAATACTGTCATTTATGTTTTACTTGTGGCTTTTTATAGCATATGATCTGGACTTAATGTTTTACACTTACCTACTATTTCACAGGCACTTTTTCCCTTCAGGTCCTTCCTTTTCTTTTCTTAGAAAATAGGTTCTTTGTAATACGTGTTTGTTTTTCCTTGGAATCACTCTAGTACGTTACAAGAAATTTGTCCTTTGTCATTGCTCTTTTACATTGTTTCTACAATAGCCCTTCAAAAGTTTTCTTCGGTGGTTTTCTCAGGTTTGTAAACATACTTTGGAGTTTCCAGTGAGCGAAACCCAGATATCATTTAGGTTTTTGGCAATATCCAGAATTGTAATATGTTTACAGGTCACAGAATGTTCTTCTGAAAGATGTCCAGATTTCGTCATAAAGTTGCTCAAAATTAGCTTTTGAAGTAACATGAGTCATACACATATCTCATGCTTCTTTAGAAGGATGTCCACTAGCTCTTTCTGTGTTGTTTAGCTCCCTTCTTTGTTGCTCAAAACTGCACAAAAATTCAGCAACATCATATTAAAAAGGGCAGTATAGATATTAAACATATTTGTTATCGTAGCAACTGTCTCGTGAAATCCCATGTAAGTGTCAGGCATTGCAAATAAATTGATCTGATCTGTTTGCCACCTCAAGTTATACTTATTACATTTACTTATTATGAACATTGGACTAAATTTGATTTCATCAAGGATTTCTCTCTCCCTCGGAATGATTGCAGATTTTAAAGATTATCTGTCCAAATAATGCCTTTACTTTTAAATTATCTCTGCGTGTCACCAAAAAATAATACCTGCAGAATACTGCCTCATCTACAAAATTGCTTTTTAGAATAAAATCACTCTTTAGTTTCTGTGTGTGTGTATATGTATGAACATCTAGGCTCTTCCTATGTGAATCCACTTTCTGCGGTATGTTGTGATAAGAAAGTCAAGCAGCCAAATCAAAAAGGTGATATTAAGATACAAAAGTGATTATGAAGTTTCTATGTGTGTGTATATCAATTTTACAATATATATTTTTAATATATGTACACAAATATTAGAATAAATATTTTTTAAGATGAAGAAATCAGTCTTAAAATCAGTTGGGAGGTAATTATACATTTCTGGAATTTAGTTAACTGTGTGATTATTGAAGTGTTTAATCAAAGTAAGCAATAGAACTCTGCATACCAAACACAAATTCTGGAAGTCTGATAACTGTGTTTGAATTCTTGCAGCCGCACTGCAGTGTTGTTCACCACCTGCCCACATAGATCCTCTGACTGGCTGTGCTAGTCCTACAGCTTCGACGTACACCCACTGCAGCTTTTTCCAGGTGAGTGTAGCATACTGAAATCAGGTGAAAGCGGAGGAGACTGTATGATAAAGTGTAGGTTTATAGACTTCTGAAGTGAAGAATATAAATTTGAAAATTGATCTGCTTGAGAAAATTAAAGTAGTGTGGTTTACAGGTATCTATTTCAAAGAACCACTGGACGTTAAACGGATAGTTTTGTAATTCAAGTTAGTTTCAAGGTAGCAGCACAGTGGGTGTCCTTATCAGTGGAGTGTTTTTTTCTGTGTAAGTTTTTTGCTTGACTTCACCAGAACTCGTTTTAGTTAACAAGTCTACGTTTATCATTGAAGAATGTCCTTGCCTGGACAAAAAGAGATTCTTTAGTATTATGAAAATACTGGGAAACAGCTCCACTTTTTTGTCCCAGACACCTTTCTGCAGTCCTGAGTTTCATTTGATGAATGAGAAAAACTAAGGTGACTTTTGGAATTGGCCCCACCTCAGAAATGTCTTATTAAAGATAACTACAGTACTTACTGTAAAGGCTTTATATAATTCCGGTGGAAACTGCACCTTCTTTGGAGGGCCTGGCTTATCAAATATCAAAAGGTCTGAAGTAAAAATGCAAGGGCTTCCTTTTCTATTACACCATAATGCATATACTTCTTTTTTTCCTCACAGAAGACAAGCAAAGCAAGTTATGCTTATGAAAAAGGGTTGACGTACCCAAGCTTGATCATCCAGTTTCGTGTCTTGCAAATATCAACCTTTGTCTTTTATTCATGATTTTTTTTTTTTATATAATCTTATCCAAGATGGCCAGGTTGTGGCCAGGATAACATGTTGGTGTAAGGATATAAATAGCCACTGGCCAATCATGCCACTGATACTCTAGTATTTATTTTTCACACAGTACATCTTTGCCTTCTCACTTTCATCATGAGCTGCTTTTTCATCCAGGACATGAGGATCAGTCTGAGTGATGAGAAGTCACAATCAAATAACGTCTTATCTCTGAAGGCTGGTATCAATGTTTGGGATAGCAAATCATTCCAAAGGAATCATCGAGGGTGGTGTTGTGGCTAGATTGAAAGATAATATAAATACACTATCCGAAGGGTCTAGTAAAAATCAGTTGTTTGGAGAAGCAAGTCCATGGGCAGTGTGTGGAGTCAAAAGAGATGTAGGCCATTTACTAGTGGATGCTTTGATAATGCAACTCTAACCAGGGAACTCCCAGTCAAAAGCTGCTGGTGCATCTGGGCAGAGATTGCTGGAAGGTAATCCTCTGTGTGAGCAGCAGTGCCGTAAATCAGTTCTGCCAGGTCAGTAACTGGCTGTGTCTGAGCAGGATAACACAAACATCATACAGAATGGATCAACAGGACTTCGTGAGATTTCTGAGTCTTAGTGTAGCATAGATCACTTCTACTGGAACGTGGTGACAGGGGCTGTGCAGATGGTACAGCAGACAGCGGTTTGCCTGTGGTTCTCACTGAGCTGTGGGGAATAATCAGTTTACCTTTTGCGTGCTCTGGGGTAGATACTTCCCCAAACTTCTGCTGAGGGATGCAGCCAGCTACAGTATTGATCATCCTGCCCTGCTTGTGTATTGATCATCAGTAACCACTTGCACGAGCCTTCAAAAGCAGTAAAATTAACCAACCCTAGCTGACTAAGCGTTTTTATCGTTCTTCACAAAAACCAGAACTGTTGCATTGTATCATTCCACTCAATATTTTCCACCAGTTGCAGGATTTCAGTGCAATGCTGTTGAAGGGTGGTTTGCAGGGCATTTTAGGCTGTTTGATCACACTGTGGTGTACTAGATACTGCTGGCAAAGCCTATACAAAACTGCTGGACTAGTCCAGAAGACAGTGAGCCATACCAGCACACTGGCAGGCAGCAAGCTGATTATCAGCCCTGTTTCTCTTGGATCCAGACAGTGCTTTGTGGTCTCAGAACGAAAACCAGGCACTGTTGGACAAGAAAGCCTAAACCTTGTGCTGGTCCTTACTAGGAGGATCACTTCAAGTTTAGGAGAGATTAAGACAGGTACAGTTTCTTGGGGCTTGGAGGCCAGCTGCTGCGCTTGTACAGTACACACATGACCTGCTGAAACTGTTTGGTGACCCTGTCTGGAACATGGGCAGACAAGACCAGTGAGTTGATGTTTGTCTGTCGGTTTGCTCTCCAGAAAAAGCTACAGAGAATTACCGCATGGAACGGCAAGGGGATATAGATGCCTATACCCAGACATAGTGGCTGATTAGGGTATATCTCTTGTCAGGTTTCTGAAATCAAGGTTTCAGAGATTTGTATTACACTCTCATCACAATTGGTTACAAAACTGGGAGCTTGGGTACAGCTTCATACGCTTTTTCATTTGCGTTCTCCTGAAGTGGGGTGTGGATCAGTGTGATGAATCGGTATCCTTGGGTAGGAATGAGTCTTGTGAGAGAAAACTCCTGCTATCTTCTGCAACAGCAGTTCTGGCAACTCACAACCATTAGTGCAGTATTTCCCTGCTGCTTTATCATCAGCGTGAACCGAGGCTACATATTGGATTTTAGTGATTTTTTTTAATTGTTTTTTCCTTTTTTTTTTTTTTTTAAACTAGCAGCCCTGCTATTTGATTGTTGCCATTAGCATTGTTATTAAGCTGTCAGTATTTCCTTGTGGAACTGAAGCAAGAGGTAACTGGAAATGGAAGAAATAAACGTGGGAGGAAAAAGAAGAAGAAAAACTTTCCTGATCTTAAAAGCAGTCTTAAGTAGTTTGCTTTTATTTGTGGTAAGAATGATAATCAGCCATGTTATTTCAAAATGAAATTGAATCTGAACTACTTCTGAATGATTGCCCAAGCACGCAAGCCAGATTGTTTTAGTCCTAGCAGTCCCTGAAAAGGTGTGGTTGTGCTTTACTTCTGTGTGCACTGTGCTAATCTTACAAGTGAAATGCCCATCTTCCCTTTCACCGCTTTTGCTAAATTAGACCATTTTTCCTCTTGAGCGCAGATGACCAGCAAACTATTAGTCGTTTGAGTCCTGACTTCTTAATCTTAATCACTTTTCATTGTTTCATTGCTGCCTCCCTCCCATGCTTGTCTGTCGTATCTTCCCTAGATAAACTAAAAGGATTTAAATTGTATCTTTGTGCGGGCACTTTCTCCTATTGGAAACGCGTAGGAGATCCTACAGTGCATCCAAGAAGATGGTAGGTATTACAACAGCTTCAAGCTGAGGTCCCCTAAGAAGCAGCAGAAGAAATTGCAGTGTGGGTTTGTTTGTTGATTGGTTTGTTTGTTTGTTTGTTTTTGGCAGGGATGATCTCATCCCTGGACAGTTGACTTGGTAACCCAGATCTTACTTAAAATCCTGGCTACTTAAGATAATAAACAAGCAATGCAACAAAAGTGAAACACCTTGTTGATATTTTAAAAAATACAACTGAAAAAAATATTAAATGAAAGGAACTATGTTTAAACCTGTATCATAAAAATATAAAGGTGGCTTGCCTTTAATGAAAAGATTTTGCTTAACTTAACCTAAATTTCTCAAATTCCAGGTTTTATCTTCCCCTCCTTCCCCCCCCGCCCCCTCCAGAGTTCATGGCTATCTGCAGAGTGGCACATCTACATGAATCCACAACAGGACTTGACTTCATACACCCAGAGGAAGGGATCTCATCTCTTGGTGGTATTTCCTTCAGGGACTTCTGATGTTCATGCTGCTGAGTGACCAAATCCTTCACTGGCATTTGATCTAATATGGCTTTCCTAGTAGGTGATCCTGTGGCTTCCTGTTCTCTAATTTACTCATCTATGGAAGTAGCTTTTTATTAACCAAGGACTAATCCTTCATACTAGATCTCTTCCAAAATAAGATTGTATTTTAAATATACCTGAGTTTCTGTTCAACATGTTCTGTTCAAATATGACTCGTATTTGTCAGAAGAAATTACCCTTCCAGTGTCCTTTAACTCAGAGTCATCTCCAGAAGAAACAGCAGTACAGACACTGGCTGTTAAAATGTGATTTATCATTTCACTTGGGTAGGACTTGCTGCTTTTGAAAAACTCTTCATTGTCTTCTTTCTGCTTTAAATGTTCTTTGATTTATATGAATTCTTCTAAAAAAAAAAAATCATTGGATTGCTGACTGTGTCCTGTCATCTTGTGATGTCATTACAGTGAAATATTTTAGTAGCCGTCAGACCTGCTTTGTCATGGCAAAGGCAGCCTCTACAGGTTCTCCAAGAAGTGTTTCTGACCTGAAGATCTATAGGGCTTTTATACAGATTTATGTAGACTTTGAGTCGTGCATTTGTGGGGCACTGTGTCGTGACAGGAGCATCCAGATGTGAGGCTGTGACAGACAGGGCAGTTCTACAGTATTTGTTTTCATAGGTATCTGAACTCCTGTTCATTTTGGGACTGGAGCATCCTTGGGAATCACCCCTTGTGTGGATGCGTATATGGACAATCACTTGAAGAGGAAAAGATGTTATTGGTAAGTAACTGTGAGTTCCTCAAGTTGTGTTGTCCATATGCACATTTACAGCATACGTACCTTTTTTTCTTGCTTAGAAATCTTGTGGTTTGTGCTGGTTTTATACACAACAGGAATGCTCGAGTTTTAGAAGAACTGAAGGCAGGTAGATTTGCTCTATCATTTTCTATCACATATGTGGCATGTGAAGGGGGTGGTTCTAATGTACCCCCACAGGTCCTACTAAGACTAGAAGTCTGTGGTTTGAATGCTTGGGTGTACTTATACCTGCAATGCAAAGGGTATGCAGACAATGCATCTGAAGGAGTACACAGCTGCTGGTAAGTAACCTTCCTTCTCTCCAGGATAGACAGTGAATAGGAGAAAGCAAGCGTGCCAAGAGTAAGGTGGTTAATGAAAAACAAGACAAAGTAGTAACCTTTCTTTTTTTTAATTAAACCTGCTATTTTAACTGAAAATAACAGACAATCTTTCAAGCTTTTGGATAGACGAACACTTCAGTTGATTGCTCAGGTTCATTTCCAAAGCCTTACAGAACCGATGCACATCCTGTCACTGTAATTTTTTTATATAAAAGTTCACTGTATTTTGTTTCTTCCAGAGTCCTCCAATGCAGTCACCTTATGCAGCTGAATTTCTGCCCTCTGACTGGCCTTGTAATACATCTGATGAAAACAAGAAGACAGAAGTAAATCTTGAAGCTGTGTTTCAGATTGTTGATGAGATGCGTTCATCACCCAAAACTGAAATGGTGAAAGTGGAACCTGTGGAGGGCCAGTGTTCAACCCTTCAGTCAAACAGTGGTCAACCACTGCTGGTTAACAGTGACAATAGTGATACACCTTCTTCAGCCGAGGAAAGCCAACTGGAATGTCTTACTCCTGTAGCTTCACACGCATCATTTGTGATGGGAGCAGATCAAGCAGTAACTTGTTCTCCATCACAGCCTTCTGAATTTCTTTGTGCTACCCATACCGCTGCGTCTGCAGAAAGTGCTGCTGCTGAAATAGTGCGAGAATCTGTGACCGCACAGGAAGCATGTGAACAACCAGATCACTGCCCAACTCAATCCAAGAATCTGTGACCGCACAGGAAGCACATGAACAACTGAGAGAACAACCAGATCACTGCCCAACTCAATCCTCTGTAATGTTTGTTCAGGAAGGACCATTCAGCCCAGAGCAGGTGAGGGGTAAAGGGAGATAAAACAACATCTTTTTTGAGAGAACTATATTCGATAATAATGCTGGGTCTGCTAGCATATTCTTGCCTACTTAAGAACTAAAGGCTTCTTTAATTAAGCTTTTAATGGACAGTGAAGGGTTTGCTTGATAAAGCAAGATTTAAAAAAGAAGAGGGAATGAAAAAGTATCACACGTTAATGAGCATGAGATGTGTTAGCGTGCGTTGGCCAAGTTAGGGTGCTCATTTGCATGGAAAAATACGTTGTGCAGGTGTATTCATGATGATGAAGTGGAAGTTTTTTTAGGTTATAACATCCTATCTTTAATCTTAAATAAAAAAGAGTATTTTGAGAATTGCCACTGAAGGCAGAGATTTTTGTTTAAAATTTAGATAAGTGGTTAAGTTGTTTCTGAGTTACTAAGTTTCTGTTTTCTGCGAAAAGTATAATTTATTGACATTTGAATGGTATAAAGCATCTTCATTTGTTTATACTTTGTGGTGTCCCACAAGTTGTAATTGTACTTTGGTTTGCCTGTGCCTGGTCTTCCCTGTATACAAAACTGTAAGTCTCATGTGCAGTGGGGGGTGTTCTAGACGTTACTCTGTTAAGGCAGCAAATGCATGCTCTACTTTTTTTGTTTTGAAAACAAAGTAAAAGCAAGAGATTGACTGCATCTGTTTCTGCTGCGCGAGACCTGCCTTGCATGTAGGCACTCAAAATTTCATTTTTGTGTGCGTGTTGAAGCTACTGTTCTATTGAGCTATCAGTATCTTGATGCCTTCAGTAAAGTTTATAGCTTGGAAATCCTCAGCTGGTGCAAACTTGATTGTTCTTAGTCATCTTCCTCTTGGGTATCTTTATAGAAAGAGATGTATATTCTGAACAAGTCTCTGCAGAGCTCAAGCCTAGACTAGACTGTTCTGCTCAGTACTGTGTAGAGAAGAGCATGTCCTTGTGTGAGTGCCTACAGAGTTGGCAGTACTCCTCAATGAGTGTCCACTCATTATCTTAAGTGTTGACCGCACTTCAAACATTGTCAGTTTTGATAACTTCTGAAGTGCATTTTTAGCAGTATATTTTTCCATTGTTGAAGGCCTTTGGAGTTTGTGGTCCAAACTCCCTTGTTAAGAACTGAGGGATTAAGTGTGTGAACCATGGAGTTGTTTGGGGGAAGGTGTTTTGGTTTTGAGGCCCCATTACTTGTGTAATTGGTGAGAATCCCGATGTTGGTCCTGGTCTGTTTATCTGGATGTTAACTGGTTAAATAACTGGGGCTTATTCTGTGTTGAAGAGGAATTCAGGGACTATTAGGCCTTTTTTTTGACAGATTCCCTCTTTTTGTTAGCAATATTTTCTCTTACTAGTCTCCTCTTCCCAAACTCAAGAGAGGCAAGGTTAAGTTAACCCCCCAGCTGCCTCTTGTCTAGTGGTGTTTCCAGAGCCTGGGATCATGGCAGGTGCAGAACTCTCCAGAGAAGGCTTCTGTGCCTGTACTCCCATCAGGCTCCTACATAGTTTGCTATCTTCCTTATCCCTGAATCTGGAAGCCGCCTGAGGCTTTCAGTAGCTGTCAGTGCCATGTAATTCAGAGCAAGCTTACAAGAATAGTGGCCGTGCACAGAAGGCAGTTTTATTACTCAGTGTAGCAGCCCAGGAGGAGCAAATTCCTCCAGTGTTAATACAAGAACATCAAAACAGCTCTGCTGGGTCAGATCAAAGGTCCGTCTTGCCCAGGGTCAAGTCTCAGGACAATAGCTGTAATCTGATACATAGGGAAGAGCAAGAACAAGGCATGCAAATAGAACAAGGCATTCCTCCTCATACTTTCCAACTACTCTCAGCTTGAGGACTTGGAATGATACCGTATACTTAATCTTAGATTTCTCTTCCGTGGACTTGAAGTCAGCCCTTGAAACCATGTCAGTTTTAGCATACAGTACCCTTTGACTAAACACATACTTTGATCATGATCTGTTGCACAAAGAGCTTCCTTTTGTTCCTTTTGAGCATGGCTGTTATTAGCTTCATGTGATGCTTCCTGGTTTCTGTCTCGGAAGAGACATTCAGCTGTCATCCCTGGCCACTTACTGCATGTCAGTTGTGATTTTACAGATCTCTTATCACAGCCTCCACAGTAGTCTTTCCCCGACTGTACAGTCCTGCTGTAGTTTCCTCTGCGTGGCAGCTGCTCCATGCGTCTGGTTAGCTTTGGGTTTGTTCTCAACTTTTTCCATTTCTACTACATCCTTTTTTGAAATGAAGAGAGCATTGAAGTTGTGGGAAAACTATCCATTTTTACAGTGGCACAAAGATGGTTGCTGTTTTATTCTCTATTTCATTCACAGTATTTCCTAGCATTTACTTGCTCTTGTGACAGCTATTGAGCCTTGAACTGTCCTCCTCATAGAGCTAACAGCTTAGTAGAAACCTGCTTGATTCTGCTTTCCTGATTTCCTAAATGATAGCAAATTAAAGAGCAATTCTTTACATGAAAAGAGTTAGGACATTCAATAGTTCAGACCCAGCGTTGCCCTCTTAGCCTCAGTGAATTCCTGTCCTAGACTTTTACAGGGTTTGGCCTTTAATGGGCATATTTTATTCCACTCCTACTCATAAGAAATATTTTATTTTCTTCTTAAAGTGGAAATAAAACATTTCTGTAATGCTTATCAAGAGGAATTTGCCTCCTATTTTGTTCAGTCTCCTTGGCAGTATACCCGTCTGAAGGTTGAAACTCTTTCTTTCTTTGGTGAACATTAATCCAGCAAACCCCATTCATGTGAGTTGTTCATTTTAGTACCTTAGCTTCTCATCATGGTTCCAGCTGGGTACAGGTATAGTCCAGTCGCTGTCTCATAAGTCATGTAACCAGTGAGACGCAGCACATTGGGCGTTTTTCAATAATTGAAGTGAAAAGGCAAAACCTTCACATCCATCAGCTTTGGTAGCTGTGTTGATTCTCCGCCAAACAACATTTGGGACTCTGAAATTGCAGAAGTAGTAGGCCTGAGTGAAGAGTCTGTCCACAGATATGGTAAATCCATGGTCAGAAGCATGTTCACTTAAAAAACCAAACAATAAAAAAAGAGATAACTTAGGAACCAGATTTGTGTGGGCTAAGCTGATGCTGTTAGGATGAAAATCTTATTATTGCTTTTTTTATATTAGATTACTGAAGAGTTGGTGTGTAAGATCCTATAAACACAGTGATAAAAAGGAATCTGGAAGGGGTATTGGGCAGTATCATCGCTCTTCAGTTTCCACACACACAACTGTAAGGCTTAAAATTGGACACAGCGTTGCAAGTACAGGTTCACCAGTGAGGGGAAAATGAAATTCCCTCAGTTTGCGGGCCGTGCTCGTCCCCGTGCAGCCTGAGGTGTCGTTAGCCTTACTGGGCACTGCAGCATCCCCAGGTTATTTGTAGGAGAACTGCTCGTCAGAGTTTCTAGGCTGCTTTCGGCATGTAGGCTAGTAATAATTTCTTAATAATGGTTATCCCAATATGCATTTGGTTTTTGTTTATCCATCAATGCAGTTTGATTTCTACATCCCTGACTGATATTGCTCTTCAGTTCATAGTGTATCTATTTTTCTCTTTTTTTTTAAATAATGACATTTGTTGAATTGTTTCTAGAACAGTTGTCCTGTGGAGTATCCAAATTAGGATGCTTACTTGAGAAATCTTCCCTTCTCTCACTAGTTGGTTAAGGCCGCTTACTCATTTTTCTAGAAATTATTATTATGTAAACGTCACCAGGAATGGAGAGGTTTAGATCATCACTTATGAGTTTTGGATTCGAGCTGTGAAGGTAGTGAACTACAGTCCTCCTTCCTTCTCTTTGTTTTTATGTCTAGGGAGGGGTTGTGGTTCAGATGTTAGACAAAAGGCATTGCTGCCAAACGGTTTCACATGGCCTTGTTAATAGTACTAATGCAATACATACAGACAACACATTTCAAAGAACAAATACTACAGTAAAGTGGGTATCTAGCAAGTGCAGGAGGCGTGTTGGGGGGGAACTAGCTCTCCCTGGAGTATTCAGTTACTGTATTTGCACAGGCCTTTTTGAATATGATTATACAACTTTGTCAAAGAATGTATATGTATTTCTATTAATATGCATACACATTGCCTTTTATATATTTAACATTGAGTAATGGCAGACTCAAGGTGGAGGGTGTGACTTTTGGAATTACTAGTATCTTATTACCGAGTGTGATGACCTTTTGTCTTCTGTAAACTCACACAGTTTTCAAAAGCTTTTTTTTCCTTAATAGAAGGAAACGTTGCAGGTTCTGAACAATCATTCATCTTTAGGCTATTGATTGATAGGATATTTGCAGAAGAGATTAATATTCTAGAACAGGTGATAGTGAGAACATCTTTCTGCCTAAAAGTAAACTCCAAGTGCTTAACTTTGGGCCGGTACTTCCTCAGTGGAATGGAGACATAACTTGGTTGTTTGGCTTTTTTTTTTTTAAAACCTGGAGATTTTTGCCACATGATCATGGAAATATACCAGTTCAGTAAATGGTTGCCTGCAAAATACATATGGAGCAGCAGCAGAGGGCTCCAAAAAGCAAGCAACACATTATAATTTAATGTCTTAACAATCGGTTGGGGTGGGGTGAGATTTCCAACCAGAAATGTGTGGCTCGCATGTGTAGTTTTGCATCACACAGCTCTGTCAAGTTGTTTGAGCTAGATCTGTCATTACTAATACATGTGTTGGTAACAATGAGTGCACCTGGATTTCTTCTAGCTAGTTTGATAACTGAGGGCAAAGCTCAGACTGTGCAGACATGTACCCTAACTTTGTATATTCTAGTTTTCTGGTTTCATGTTTTGCTTAATATGACATTTTGTAAGAGCTTGAGTTTCAATTTGGCAACCTTAATTCTGAGTTAAAAACACTTATTATGTAAACCATCTGGGCAATGTTCGACACTTTTAGATGTCCTTTTGGAGTGGAGAAGAATAGTTATTATTTTGTCCCTAAACTGATTACAAGAAAATACTGAGTGATCTTTGGTTTTATTTCTTTTTTTGTTGTTTTTTTTTTTAAGGAGAATACTAGTGTTAAATGTGAATCCAGTACATCAGAGACAGAAGAGAGACAACTCACTTCAGGAACTGAGCCTGTAGACAAGTCTGTAGAAGAGACAGACTCATCTGTAAAACCTAGATGCAGGAAAAGAAGACACAGTTCACACAAGGGCAAGTCTCCTGGTAAGAAGAGATTCTACATTTTTTTAGAGATTACCAAGACAGCTACTCTAGAACTAGCTATTATAGAAAGGGGAGATCAGAATAGTTTAGTTATTGTCTGCAGTGTAAGTACTTCACTGTGCCTTCAGTTAAAATATTATACTTGTACAACCTCTTAGTATACTTACCAAGATGCTTCTATAGATATATGCTTATGCTAATTACTCTTATGTGGAAAAGGGTACAAATTATATCAGTAAATAAAACCTGAAGTTCTGGGAGTTGTGTCAGAAACCTGGATGTCATAATATTGAGATGAATTCCATAGATATGTTCGCTGGAGGGTGACAGTGCTACGAAGGAAACACCGAGTAATGAGGTGATTATTGAAGTTACAGGGAAAAAAACCACCAAACTGATTAAGTTAGTGTAGAAGTCCAAACCTTTTGTCTCAGATCACTAATTAAATTTTGTACCAGTCTGCTGAAATACATGAGAAAAACAAGCAGCAGGACATTTCAGGCCAAAAAATTCACAAATCTAGTAACTAAAGGAAAAGCCTAAATGCCCACAGACTAGAGAGACATAAGAGGACACAGAGAGTGCTTTGGATCCATTCTAGAGGAAAAGTTGGTGCAGCCTGCAAGTCTTGCAAGAAGCGATTTCCTTCACAGATGTTCATCAAAGAGCTGATTGTAGAGTTTGAAGACCTGTTGCTCACTTCAAAGGGTAGTTTCTAGATTCCAGATAATGATGCTAGTTAATAATTCAGCTCATAACGCCCATCAGTTTCAAACATTTCAGTAAGGAATAAAGTCTTTTTGTCAGGAAGCTGAGAAAAAAGGTTGGATGCCATCTTGAAAGAAGACAGGCTTTTGTTTAAAAGACAGAATTGAGAGTTCTTGTTCAATTACTTCCTGGTATCATGGATAATTAGCAAACTTCTCAGCTTTCGTATCTACAGCAAAACATTTGCTTAATATGCCAGTTGTAAAGTTATGTACAAGAATGTTTTGGAAAGCATTTCCATAGGATTGTTCCACAGAGGTGAAACACTGTTACGTTGATGCTAATTAGCAACAATTAGCATAGTGTCTACTCTCTGGGAAATGTGATAGTCATCCAGGTGTACGTTTCCACTGTTGTACCTTTTAGGCTTGGTGTACATGTAAAGGGTAGAGACAGACAGCACACCTGAGCCAAACATGGTCAAGCTCAAGATGGCCCAAAATAAATTGGGCACATGATAAAAGCCTTGAAGCTGGCATAGCCCATCTCCTGCATTTCAACTGTAAGCCTGAAGCAGACAGGTTTAAATATAAGCGGACTTCCATTGCTCTGACTACATGTTTTTCTGTCAGTGCCTCCTTTCATCTATGAGTCTGTGGAAACAACTTTTTCCTCAATCTTTCTGTGCTGAAATATTGCATCATGAAAATTTCCAGGTGTTTCTTCACAACGTATCCTCTGAAAGTGGTTGAGTCCTGTCCATCTTCCTCTTGTCCTTTGGGTGCTCATTTGCAAGTTTTCTGAGCCCGCACTTTGATACATATCCTGCTATAGAGAAGGCTTTTGTTCCATCTGTTTCAGTACGCTGCTGACATGATTCACTTTTCTTTGTTATGTGGTGACACCAAATTCTATATATCACACAGTGAGAGCCAACATAATGTGATACCAAAGGCCACTGCAATGAAGATGGAAGAAAAAGTCACTTCTGTGACTGCGAGTGGCTCTGGGCCGAAACCAAGGTGATAATCTGTACAAATGAGCCAAGAATCAAACCCTCTCCTGTGGAGAAGGCGTTACTTTCCTTTGAAGAATTAGACCAGATTTCTTTGCCTTTTTGCAGCTATCCTGTAGCAAGAGAGACAGCTGTTGTCTTACTAAAATGCAATCCCCAGGATTTCCCTTCATAGCTGCCAGCCCATCTCTGCAGTACCATAAATCACTGAAATAGGTTATCTGTTTTCTTGAAATGAAAACCAATATACTTATCCAACTTTCTCAGCTAAATTCTAGTTTACCAGTTTTAAGAACATCCTGCCAACCAGGGTCAAGATGAAAGGTCTCTCTAGTACGTTGTCCTGTCTCCAAAAGTATCTTCAGCATTTTTGTACTACTAGGTAGAAGAGGCCTCAGTAAACTTTTCTTCAATTATTTTTTCTAGTCATTTTTTGAAGCCATGCAAACATTTAGCATCCACTGTGGTTTTTGTAAGTTAATGTCATTAACATAGGTTAATTACACAGTGGGTGAAGAACCCTCCTCTTTCTTTGTTTTGAATGCAAGTGTTTGCTTTAACCGTGTCTTTACTCCTCATGCACTAATTGTCTTTGTACCTGACAATTTGGCAGAGGGACCCCATTTTCTTTGGTAGCAGCAGGAGAAGAAAAACTATTTGTGAGTCCTCCTGGGAGTCAGATGCTGCAACAGAAGGTGCAGAACTTAATTCAGCACTAAGATCCATCATTGCCAATGAGTATGAGGCTGTGTCATCTGTTCCCTTCCCACTCTTTTTCTTGAGAGACAGTGGGTATGGCTCTCTGGTTCCTGGCGTGTTTATGACATTGAGGTGTGAGGGACAGTTCACCTTTCAGGAACTGCTTTTTTCAGCCCCAGGCTCTTAGGACATAGATTTGAAGGTGCTGATGATACATCTTCTTTCTCCGCTACTTTCTAGTTGAGCTTATCTATAAAATGGGGTTTTTGGAATAAATCTGTCTGCTTATGTTGGCAGCATCCACACTTGCAACAGGAGTCCTTTTGGACTTCACGAATGATTGATGGGAACTCTCTAAATTCTTCACGTATCCTTCCCCATCTCTTCTGCATTATACTCCACAGGTACACTCAGCTAGTGAATATAGCTGTACTGGACCTAATGTCTGTGGTTTGTGCTTCCTCTTCTAAAAGAGTACATAAGAAGGACCAGATTCTGATTGGAGAAATTTTTGTTTGCAGCCCTTCTTTCTGAAAATAGGGATCTCGGAGTGGAGCAGGTGGAATTTGTTACTTCTGGATTTAAGCATTTAAGCTGATACTGATACATTAAAGAAAAAGCTTTCTTTCTCGATGGCTGGCTATATGTTTTTTGTGAGTCGCCTAGTCCTTCAAATAATCTGGCAACTTCCTCTCATCTTTTTTGCTACAGGAACACAGACATAATACTGAGATGCTACTGACTCGTATGAATCCATCATTATCACACTGCAAGGTGCCCTAGACATTTACCACACACTCCCATGCCACTACAGTTGTGTCACTATGCATTCCCTCTCATTCACTGCAAGGTAAATAGGCTTATAGGTGCAATTGCTAAGGGCAAATCTTCATTCAGGCAAGATCTCCCCTGCTATCATATGTTCACTTGAACTATTTCCTACACTTTCCAGACAAAAATAATTTCATTTAGTTCATTAGTGTTCCTAATAGGTCACAGTGAGATCTCCTACAAAGCTGTTAAGAGTTAATATGGGGACAGGCCTGGCCCTGAACTCTTCAACATCTCCTGTCTGAAACCCGAAGGGAAGTTGCTCTCAGGAGTTTGAAGTGCAGCTTCTTGCTCCAGCTCAGTTGCCATTACCTTTACTTCATTATATATTCAGTGAACGACTTTCAAATTACTTGTCCTGGCAGTCTGCTGTTTTGGATGAGTGGATGCTAGATGCTGTCTCCTAACTTTACATAATTCAGAGTTGCGTTTTTACTAGCCCCCTCATTTCTCTATCCCTGTGCATTCCCAAGATTTGTTCCCAACAGAATCTGCTTTGGCGGGAGGCAAATGTCAGAAAGTGCAGAACTGGTGCCTATTGGGCAGGAACTTTGTAGTACAGAAAAAGAACAAGGGCTGGAGTACTTTTCCTAAGATGTGAATGTGTCTGTTTAGAGATTAAAGTTCACACAGGTGACATTTGCAGTGGTACCACTGTTGTGACTTTATCAGGGTACTTGTTCACTTTCTTGACCTGCAAGATCTGGCCATACATTGGAAGTATCTCCATCTTGCTGTGGATCGAGGCAGTTTTCAAAAAAGGAGTCTCTTGTTTGTCCTGTCTGTCACACCACGAGTTTTCTCTAGGATCTTGGCACCAGCTATGGCATACTTTGAGGCAATTGTGCCTTTTATGGATAAAAGGTGTATGTCTCAAGCAGAATGGGCATTTCTGTAGATTCTGCCAGGGATGTAGTAATTAACGTTTGGCAGTTGGTATCCACTAGTCAGTGTACATATAAATAATATATCTTGAAGAATGGGAGTACTTTTCCTATAATTTGTTTTGTTGTTGTTTTATATTTAAAGTTTTGCAAAATTAGAATAATTCCCGTTCTGTAAACAGTAGGCCTCAAATTCTCAAGTTACAGTCTGCCTGTCAGGCCATATTTCATAGTACCTGATAGAAGTACAATTGCTATGTGTGCTGCCAAGTGAAACCTATACAAGGACTGATATTTACTCAGTATTCCCTTTTCTTCCTAGATCTCCATCTGCTGGTAGATGTAGCTTGCAAGCAGGGGTACTTTCCACAGGAAGAAACAAGAGAGTGAGAAGTGGGTGACAAGTATGTGAAAATGTGCAGCAGCTGCCAGCTGGGTTCCCTTGTCAGACTCCAGCGGCAGTGCTTTGCAGACAACAGCACTTTGGATCATTTCAACTGTGTTTTAAAAAAAAAAAACAAACTATTTTTCTGCTTTCATTTTAACTTTGTAGGGTATTAGTCACTCCATTTTTTACACCTCTTCCATTACATTTTCTACCTGTCAAGTTATAAAGCATCTAGTGGTCAGAGTATTTAATATGAAGTAATTACTTAGCTGCTTGTACTCTTTAGATATGGAAAGTCTGAACTTTCTGTAAACAGGAAGCCTTAAAAACTTTCTCAAAACTTTCTTACTGGGAAACAAACTGTTTTTAGTGCTGTATTTGCAATCTTTTTATTTAACATTGTTGGAAGCTGCAGTATACTCGGCATAGATGTTGTTTGGTGCTCTCACTGTCTGTGCTTGAAGTCATACTGTGGCCCTTTACTGGGAATTGTGTATGAAACAAAAGCGTAGGAAAGTCACAAGATTCTAGGCCGGAATGGGTCAGGGATTTCAGGAGAGCAGCTATAGGAAAGATGAGCTAATTTTCTGAGTGATTAACCAGGAAATGCTCTTCCTTCCTAAACCAATGCTCTGTTTCAGCAGCAAGTGTATCCTTTCTGGTAGGTATCCATTACATATGACAGCTGCTGATCTTTTACATTAATGGGGATTTCTTCTCTTTTAATAATTTTCTTTTGATTCTAATGGTATCTGTAACGATAAGTTATTTGTTGTTTTAGTACTTTGTTTTAAATAGGTCTTCAAAATAAATGTTTAACTTTTAAAATATGATTGTATTTATATTGATAGTAGATCTTAAGTTTTTAATAGCTATGCATTTATGTTAAAATACTGTTTGAAGGATAAAGGGGACACATTCTGTATTTGTGGTGTTAGGGAAATACATGTGGAAGAGCACTTAAACGTAGGTTTAATTGCTTCATGCATGTTCGTAATTCTTTTATAATTAATTAGAGCCAGCCGTGAGCAAAATGCACAAGAAAGGAGCAGAGAGAATTTGTCAGGACCACCTCAGTTATGCCCTCCAGAGCTTTGTGTAGCTTCCAGCTACGGTCAGGATGTCCTAAGCGAACACTGAGCGGTAGGATGAACTGAGGCAAAACCTATAATTATTCATCAACAGTCCAAACTAGACAAATGCAATCTGAGGATGCTTTTAGGTAGGGCGAGTGAGAGTGTTACCATACTGATTGTCCTCGGATTTGTTACTCTTTATCATATATTACATATGTGCAGTGCAATTCCAGTTGACATGAGTGGTGAAAGGCTGGGTGCTACATTCAAATCCTCCTCCTCAAATGAAACGGTGTGGAAAGCATTTCTAAATGAATGAGAGTATTCAGGTAGTTAAAAGGAAAAGATGCTTGATAACATTGCTGCTGCTTTGTCACCTGAGTTTGGTTTTGTGCTCCCCGCTGACATGGCTGGAGATGTTGGATAATGTGGAAACAGCGGACGGCCTGTATGTCCTGTGGTAGTTTGTGCCATTAATAGTAACAGGGTTTGAGAGCATCGGTCTAGCCTTCCTGGCTTCAAGGTGTAAGGAGATGGAGGAATTCAGCCTTATCAAACTGGAGCTGCTACCTCTTTAATTCAAATAAGATACAAAGGGAACTTCTTAGCTTACCTTTCTTGCTCCTGTTTACCACCAAAAGATTTGATACTTTCGGAGATTTAAGTTAGGGGAGCCTCAGTATCTTAATGCGCTATGATTCTAAAGACAAATGATGAAATCTTAGTATTAGAATTTTTTAATATGCTAATTTTAAAAGGTTATGGAGCTGGATCTCCTGCAGTACCGCACTTTCAGAATACACATGCATGTAAACTCTATTTATCCGTAACCAACTCACTGACGTGCTGTGAGAGAGCACAGGAGAAAGGGCACTCGCTGCTTTAGGAAATCAGTATAATATTGCACGAGGCCTCACAAGTCTCAGGTAACTCTAGATTGAATGTGTAGCATTTCAGCACCTTAACGTGGATGTAGTTCAGTCAGTAAACAGTAAGAAGTAACTTCTGTAACAAGACTTTTTAACTATATTCTTCTTAATGGGAGCAGAGTGGGATTTGGTTTACCTCGAAGATGTTCTTTTATACCCCTGCTTAGGCAGCATGGTTGCAGCAATCTGCAATAAATTAAACTTTTAAACTGAAATGGGTGTTGCATTTATATTTCCTCTGTGTTTTAAATTACAAATGATAGAGTATCATAGTGGAAGAAAATGCTTCATGTTTCAGTAGTTCTTGCTGACACTTTTATCAACAACTAACCATTACCACATGGACAAGTTTAAGAAAACGCAGACCAATTCTTCGTTTGCGTAATTTATTAATTTCTGTGGAGTGACTCCAGGGATTAGTTTGGTTGCATGAGTAACAAAAAAACGCTCATTAATCTGTTTGCTTTCCTGCATGTGCTTTTCCAGGAGCAGCGGGAGCGACAGCGAGCGACTCCCAGAACAGCTGGATGGATCCTCTGCTTTCTGCGCGCGGCGCGTTGTTTTTGCGTTAATTTCTGAGTGCCCTCGTGAAGCACCGCTCCATCACATGCCGATGTACAGATTTCCAGTTGCAACCTTTCTTTGAGGTTATAGGTCTGACCTATAGTATTCTTCACCTCTCAGTGATGTCAGAGGAGAATAACAGTTGAATTCCAGACCTCTGACATCAGCCTGACCTGAAACCTCCTCGCAGTAGCGACTCGAAAAGGGCGACTGAATCTAAATTAGCGAGAGCCGAAGAAAGGCGGCGTGTGAAACGGCCGGAGCCCTTCCCGGGCCGG